GCCAAAACCAAAAATCCACCTTGGCTCCATCAGCAACGATATAAGAGATGGAGCCAAAGAAATAACAAATGAAATATTCACATGTAGCATAACATACCACAGCTACTTTTCAAGTGCATGTTGAATAGTGTTGTTGATTCTACAATTGTCACTCAAACTCAGATATAAAAGACAACCATTTTTCCACTCAAGGTGGAATTCTGGGGCATTTTTGGACTCCACAGTTTCCTTGTAATATCTACTAAACCTGGTCTCACTTGAGGACCATGACAAATTTTTCAATAAGCATTTTGAAAACTACTTTTAAAAGATCTACATTTAACTGCCTTCCTAGCCCCCAGAAGTATAAACAGAGTCAAACACCTTTATTGAGTGGCTAGGTGATTACTGATACTGCTAAGAAAGGGACCAGACTTCATTCTGACAACACGGGCCATATGTAGAATATTGTAAAATGTACTGTGAGGAGTGGAGAGAATAGGATCAGGAATATGTTCTGAGGGGGTATTTATTGCATCCCCATAGTTGCTGTAATGATCACTGCAAATTGGTGTCTGAGAAGCAGTGAATTCGTGTTCTTGAAATTCTTTTAAAATTTTATTTATTTTTATTTTATGTGCATTTGTGTTTTGCTAGCATGCATATCTGTGTGAGGGTGTTGGTCTCCTGGAACAGGAGTTATAGACAGCTGTGAGTTGCCATGTGGGTGCTGGGAATTGAACTTGGGTCCTCTGGAAGGGCAGCCAGTGCTCTTAACTGCAGAGCCATCTCTCCAGTGCCCCCCATTTTTAAATGTATTTATTTTTATCTTATGTGTATTTGTATTTTGCCATGGGTGTCAGGTCCCCTGGAACTATAATTATAGACAGTTGTGAGCTGCCATTTGGGTGCCAGAAATTGAACCTGGATCCTCTGAAAGAGCAGTCAGTGCTCTTAACCAATGAGCCATCTCTCTAGCCCCCACAATTCTTGAAATGTGATACAGAATTAGTTTCATTGTGTGAAAATCAGTGTCTGGAGAGTGAATTTCCAATTTTCTCTGGTCTTTTGATGTCTTCCTTCATAATGAAGGCATGTTATTCCAATCTCTAATTCTACCTTTATTTAATAGCACTTAACTGTTATAAGAATAAGATTATTCTTATAAGGACCACTGTAACTATTTCTGATTCATGTGGAGAACCTAGGATCATCTGCTTTGTTCATGATCCTGAATTTAGTCAGAACTTCATGATCCTTTGTCACCTAAATGAGGTTAGACACATTCTGGATCTTACAATATAGACTTAATTAGGAGCTATTTATTATTCAGATGTTAATAGGATCAAGGAATCAGAGCACAAGCCTGGGTAAAAGGACAGACACACTGCTGTTGTAGTCTTCTCAGTGACATAAAAATGCATATCGAATTAACCTGTTACATTATGATGTCCTGTGACTTGGACCTTATCAGCAAACATGATAGAAAGTTCACTAGATGCTCAGGTATGGGGGTGGGGATGCATTTCCTACTACTAAGAGAGAAAGGCAATGCTTACTGGACCACATCAGACCCAAAGGCAAAATTCCATGCCTGAGAATACTGGTCCTACATACTTATAAGGTGACTCAGATGATTTATTTCTTTCCAGCTGGATCTGGCAAAAGACAAGAACTCTAAAACTGTTTAGCTACATTTCTCATAGCTTGTCCATTTGAGTCATATGAAGATATACTTCAAGGGGAACCTGTGATGGAGAAAGAAACTGAAAGGAGCACCTAGCCATCCTACTTGGAAATGTCTGAGCTTTCTAGTCACTCACTATGAGATCAGTGGTTTTGTTGATGTTTGTTCATGGACTGAATAGAGCATTAGAGGTCATAGTAGATGTTTACCAAAATTCAAGCTAAGATGTCCTCTGATCAAGTTTGCATTGCTTGTACCATGAAATTATTTTTTTAAAAGTATTAAACAGGCAAGCAGGGATGAATGGCTCATACCATCACGGCAAAGTGATATGCTACACAACAAAAAGAATGGTGAAAAAAATTGCACATACTATTTGAATGAATTTTTATGAACATCAAAAATATATAAAGTGAACAGGGAATCCACAAATGGATGGCTACCCATGGAGAGAGTTACTATACAGAGTCAGAACACGATTCTAGACTTGGGATGTTTTGTTAACAATCAAGTCACAGCTGCCTAGATGTGTTCACTTGTTTCTTCACAGACACCAGTTTTCAGTGATCTTTACAGAAACTGTAGAAGAGTACAATATGCCAATTTGGGGTGTTTAAAAATTTTAATTTATTAATGAATAAAACATTAAAATCAGTGTTATCTGTTTTCACTTCCTTTTCCCACTATAATATGTAATTTTGAAATTATTGTTTATTTAATTTAGAAACTTAAATTTAACATCAATACTAAGAATTTAAATATATTATAAATATAAAATTTATCATAGATATACCAACAATACAAAATTCACATATCATAAAATAGTACTGATATTAAATTTAATATTGTATCATTTGTCCACAATGTTCATAATAAAGTGTGACACAGTTTCTATTGCTAACAAATTGCAGAATATGAAATCTGGAACTATACAAAGTATTCTGGGTAGAGTCAACTGGCATAGAGACTACCTTGAATTCAAAGTCTTATAGAGTATTTTCACATGACGTTTACTGAAGCTGAGTGCTCACCAGAGTGCCTGTGCTGAGCAGAGTGACCATGCCAATGAAACACTTGAACCAGTTGTTTTCTACTATCTTGCAGCAAGTTTTCCTTATATTCTTCCAAATATTTCCATTCCTAGATTCTCTACTGACTTGACCAGGTGAAGATTTTCGTTCATAACCTGCCAAGGAGGAAACTGTTAGAAGTAAATGCCTAGAAGACTCACAAAGAGTAAACATCTCAACCTTTAGATGCTTTATCAATGACTTATTTACTGAATCTGCTATCGATGGCCTGTGATTTCCACACACTTGTCTTTTACTGCTGCTCAGTGGTCTGTGATCAGTGAGGAGCAAAGAAGAACTGAACTTGTGATTTTGGGAGAAGAGCAAATAACCAAGAAGAGAGATATAATAGAATGTACCTCTACCCTACGGAGAAGAGAATGAATGCAAATAAAACCAGTTCCTCCATGCTACCCCAAATGTGCACATGTGTGTGATAGCTTGTGAATCACATTTTCAATACCCAGTGTGATGATTTAAGACACACTTACTTACATCAACACATATAATATTGTCACCCAAATTCCTTTGGAACTGATTTTCAGGCAGCATGGAAATGGGAAACATGAATGAGACAATTTGAAGAGGTAGTCAAGAATGCCGAGTACTTCATGGGTTGAGTATATGTAGCTGTAGGAAGCCTGTCTTCTTGTCGGAGAGAGCCAGTAAAAACAAATATGTGGCTCAACAAGGAAATGGTTATTTTACGTATGTGAATGTATGAATGTGAGTATTTTTTAACATAAAGTTAAAAAAATTATTTCAGTATTTTTTTTAGTGTCAGATTAAGTTTCTTTCTAAAAATGAGATCTATTTATACCTTTGTCTTAGGTGATTAATATCCTAGTATTTAAGTTGCTGAAATTTCAGGTGTGTCTGTAAAGGGCCTTTTCCTATGCAGGTGAGTGTGAAGTTGATGCCGAGACATCTTCCTCAATTGCTTCTACATCTGTGTTTTGAGACAGGTCTCTCACTGGACCTAGTTCTTACCATTCCAACTAGACTGTCTGGCTCCCTAGATCCCTGTGTCTTCTTCCCCAGCAATCATATGCTTCCATGCGTGACTTTCATGTGGATGCTCGGGATCCAAATTCTGGTCGTGTCATGGATTGTATAGCGAACACTTTATCTTCTGAGTCATCTTTTCAGCCAAAATATATTTTTATTTTAAAGCTACTAATCAAGCATCTTTGGCAGTTAGTACTTTGATCACTTTTAATTGATTTCAAAAGTCTAAATATGTAGTAATTTATTAATCTTGCTAGGAAACACATTTGAACTATACAGTACTGAGAAGTATGTTATATATCTTAGGTGGTGAATAGCTTACTGAAATTGTACATTGTAGACTTACTAATCTCTATGTACAATATCTAAACATATCATTATGCTTCTTTTTCCTACAAAATTTATAGATATTTTGATTCAATTTTTAAAGTCTAAAATTATTTTATTTCACTTTAGAATATATGTGATATATGAAAGCATTTTAGGTTATATATATATATATACATACATATACATATATATTCTAGTATTGATTTAGCTATACTTTGTTTTTCATGTTCTAGTGTAATATACTCAGTTGCACAACTACAGTATGGAATTAAATATGAACATTATAGTCTTAATATTATGTATAGCATGGATACTGCATTTGAGTAAATAGTATCAATATTATTCCACCAAAAGACAAGTGCTCAGAGTTTCTTTCTCTATCAACTATGTCAGTAACTATTTTTATAGGCATAATCATGGAGCTAGGATAATGATGATGTTGATGCCATTATTAAGTGTTGCTATTGTTTGGAAAAGATTATCTTCTAGGATTGCACAAATGCAAACACTAATCTTTTGAACCATCTCACGAGGTTTATCATTGTTTAGATTAGGAGGCAATGAGGGGAAGAGAAAATAGACAGTAGATAGGGAGGTGAATCAACCTGTTGATTCCAGAGACAGTTTTGTAACTGCCACATCACACTGTGCTAAAGAGGATCTGTCTCTTTTCCCAAAGATGACTTTTTTTTTCTTCATACTTACTGATCTGTTAAGTTATAGGTGGGCAAATAACTATACATTTCAAAACATATGCAAACTTTCTAGAATTCAGGTTAAAGTAAACATTGCACCATTATTTAGGTTCAGAGAAATTTAGTATAATTTTGAAAATTTCCAAAGAAACTTCAACTTGCCATGTTTGCGAAGCTTTGGCTTTTCATGCTCATAGACCATTTCTTCTTCTTCAGAGATAGCAATATCAACTGTGCTGCATTCAGATGAACTAGACTGCTTCATTTTCTAGAAAAAAAGAGCCCCAACAAAAAGTTACTTGCTTCATTTTCAGAAGTAAATATGATATATTGGAAGAATATTATCAAAGTCAAAAGATTTCAAGGTAATTTGGGGCTGATATTAAATTTTTTTGTGTAAATAAAGATTTGCTTTTTAAAATGGTTTGAAATACTTAAGTGCAAATAACATTAGATAAAAATCAAAGATTAGCTAAAAAGCACTTTAATCACAGTTTAAAAAATAATTGGGTTTTGAATTTTAAGACTTTCACAAAGGCCACATAAAGAAATTTTAATTAGACAAAGAGTATCACAGCAAGCCATTCTTTTATGCTAATGTTAAATAGACAAGAATGCATTTCAATATAACTGTTAAATCTATTCCAAATAGACTTGTCTCTTCAACTCTGGATGTGAGGCTATCATGATGTGAAATGAGTAAAAACACACAGCAAACAGTGTCCAGGACAGAATGGGGCAAATGGACAAGCCATGTAAGAGGCTCCTTGGGAAAGAGAGGGTTCTTCCCACTCATCCTTGACAAGGCTGATGGATCAAGATGATGTTTGCTTTATTCATGTAGCAAAAGCGTCAGTTTACCTCATTTTAATATAAACATAAGCATATCATCCTTTAAACTTGCCAGGTTCCTATAAGTTAGTAGCACCAAATAATATTGTCTAATTAAGACAAATCGAACATGAGTATATAAAAATAAAATTATGAATTCAGAATTATTTAGGTAGAGTTTGGAAAAGGACCTCAATAATGTTTGATCTTGTGCACCATCAGGATAATGGAAAGCTTTCTTTGCTTTAGTTTTTACACAGCCAGTTGTCATCTCAGCAAAAGGTGTTGCTTGAGCAAAGATGCAAAGTGGGCAGAGAAGTATTACTCAGACATATATATGTTTTAATTATTGAAATTTTTATTTAGTTTTGGTGAAATAAAAACTGTATCAATTCATTTGTTTGCTGAAAGACCCTGAGTAAATGAAAAATAATATGCATGGACTCAGTTGTTGCAATAATACACCAGATGTATTTTTGAATATTTCAAATACTTGTACATAGTCTATAGATATGATCTTTCAATAGTTTTATTTTATTATATTGCAAATAGAACAAAATATAAATTATAGTAATTATTTTTGTAGTTTATTAAATATCATGAAAAATTAATTGTGATATGGCACTATATTATAAAAAATATCTATAATCTGATATGTAATTTGTTCACTTTTATAATATGTACATACATAAATATTTTAATGGAAGGATAGATGTGCACAAATTAAAATATCCTATCTCTTTAAATAATGTGTTTTTCATGATTCATTTTTTAGGTCAATGTGCATTAATATTCTTGGGCTACATAATCAACAAAATGCCTGACTAAATACATAGTTAAATATATATATAATGGAGTAAATCTTTAAGGCCTAATAAAGGCATAAATAATCATACAATATTATTGACAGATTCTGAAATCCTAATATTTACAGTTATTTTACATAATTGTTTTATCTTGTATTTTATGCTCTTGACTTTCTATTGATATTATCAAGAGTTTCCAAGGAACCACCAGTTAGTTGTACTGTGGTAAATATCAATTTTATCTAGAGATGTGCAGAAGCCAAGTCTTCAGAGAAGATAGAAATGTGTGGATGTGTGATGAATAGGGATTCTCATCATCTTGTGATTAATTAAGGGCAAATAAAGTCAAGAATATTGATACTCTCAAAGAAAACTGAGGCTACTTATTACCGATCCTGAACTTATATCAGATGACAAATTTGAGGTGTTATAATAGACAGCATGTGCCAAAGTGGTAGAGCTCTGAGGGCAGAGATGCCAGGCACAATGGAGACATGGAAAAGATACAACTTGTTGTGGTGGTATTGTGTTTCCCAAAATATTGTGCATGCCAGTAAACTTATCTGGGGTCAGAGACAGAACAGCCACAATATTAAACATGAGGGCAGGCAGTGGTAGCACACGCCTTTAATCCTAGCATTCCAGAGGCAGAAATCCATGTGTTCAAGGATTCAGCCAAGCATGGTGACTCATGCCTTTAATCCCAGAAAGTGAGCCTTTAATCCCAGGGAGTGATGGTAGAAAGCAGAAAGGTATATAAGGCGAGAAGACCAGAAACTAGAAGCATGTGGCTGGTTAAGCATTTGATTGGTTAAGCATTCAGGCTTTTGAGCAGCAGTTCAGCTGAGACCCATGCTGGATGAGGACTCAGAGGCCTCCAGTCTGAAGAGACAAGATCAGCTGAGGATCTGGCAAGGTGAGGTAGCTGTGGCTTGTTCTGTCTCTCTGATCTACCAGCATTGACCCCAATAACTGGCCTCGGGTTTGATTTTATTAATAAGAACTTTTAAGATTCATGCTACAACTTGTCCTTCTCTGGGGCCTTTGAGTGACCTGAGATGATGCCTAATGAAACTCAAAGCAAAAAGCCTATAGCAGAGAGTGCTTGTTATAAGTATGATTTTCTTTTTATTGAACTGTACCTTTCATTAAATCATTAAGTTATTTGTAAATGGAAAGGATGCAATGTTAATTATTTTAGAAGCTAAGTGAACGATATCTAGACTACTAAAATGTGCCTGTTATTTTTTAAGTCAGGACTCTATAAAGTTATCAACTATTCACAATTCAAACTACTGATTTTTTTCTTTTAGTCTAAACTCAATACATATTTTATACACAGCAGACATGAATGGAGTAGAATTTTAAGTCTTAGCAAGTAAGAAAGTATCATGGCCTCTTCAAAACTAGTCTCACATCTTTAAGATGGTAATGCACATGGCATTCGAGTCTCCCAATCATACATATTGATTTCACAAACTTAGGTGCTTTAAAGGGGATTTTCATCACCACAAATTTTCTTGCTTATTAGTTTCTAGAATTTCACAGTTACATCATCTAATATCTCTAGCAAGGTCACCCTATAGTAGGCAAATTCTCTGTGCTGCTATGATAATTTTATTACTTCTTCCCTCCAAAAAGTATACCTTCATTTTCTGATGAGGAAACAAAAACTTGGATGTTTAAGTAATTTGGTTAAAACCATGAAATCCAGTAGTTAGGGAAGAAGGTGGAGTTGGGATCAAATGTGCAATCTAGCTCTGTAATGCCAATATTGCTTTAATTTTTGAACAGAATCACAAATCCATGCAGAATTATGAATACAGGAGACTGCTTACCTCTTTACTGTCTCCAATCCCAGACTTGTTTTGAGTCTCCTTGTTATCCAGATTTTCTATATCAGATTCTCCCGAAGCGATTGGCACAGTTTCTGAGACAGTGGGACTAGCGATCAGGGACTGGCTCTCTGATTCAGTGGCAGGGGTCTTCTCTGTGCCACTGCTCTTCTCCCTGTATCTCAGGAACGTTTGGCTGTCACTCAGTTCAGAAAGAGTGTGGCCAGAAACATTCTCTTTAACACTTGTATCATGCATTTGGTCTTCTGCTTCTGTAGGAATAGTTCTTTTTGTGCATAATATTTTAAGAAGCACGTGGTTTACTCCTTTCTTTATCCTGGCCATGGCAAGCTGAAAGTTTTTGGCTTCTTTGTTCACTTTTGGTATTGTAGCATCATATAAACTGAATGAGCTTACCAATGCCACAAAGAGGTAAAGTACCTTAAAAAAAAAAAAAAAGGAAAATGAGGCTTAATGTATCTTGATTGTTTCTTTTTATATGATTTAAAAGAGGCTTCTAATAATTCTGGTCTGCGACATGAAAACACAAATGCATCATGGTGCTCAGTGTCAGATGTGCTACCAGGATGTGTGCACAAACTTCTGTTGTTTTGTGGGTTGTTGTTGTTTATGCTGTTGTAGTTGTTTTGGTGCTACGGAATGAGCATGACGCCTTGTGACTGCTCGCAGGCATTTTACCGCCCCACCAAACAAAACTAATTTGAAGTTGCCAGCACAGCCTATGTGGTTTGATTTATTTCTTTTTCCCAGGTAGGAAAGGTTTATAGATTTCACATCAAAAGGCCACTCTAGTTTATCTTATGCCAAAGCTTGTTTCATCATGGAGACAGACTTTCTCAAATGTGAGAAAACAAATACAATCTTAGAAACAGCTAGTGTCACAAGTTTTACAGCCCAGTCCCAGGAAAAGAAACATGACCCTGTAAAGCAGAGTTTAAGCTCCAGGGAACTAGCCATGTTACTGAGTTCCACATCTAATACTTTCTAAACCACTGAGACATAGTCATTATGTAAAACATTTTCTCATGGTAAATGGATACATGCAAATTATAGACAAATAATTCAAAAATCATTGTATATTAATTGTCAAGGCAACAATAGCATGTATTTTGACTTTACTATCACTGAGAAATATAATCAGGGCCTGTTTAATTTACAGAAAATGAAGTTTTAATCCCGTCTTCAATTGTTGTGCATGTATAATACTTTTAGATTATTATTTTTCCTTCTTTTTAAAAGTGTTTTAGCAAACACAACTATAAAAAAATATCAAGTCAATTTTTAATCTGTAAAAAACATTTTAAAGAAAATTTTCATGCCTTATTATTTTCTTAGAAGCAGTGAGGGCTCCTTATTCAATTAATTTGACAAGAGTTCAATGGTAAAGAAAATGAAAGGTAAAGCTTTCTTCCTTATGTAACACAACTTGTTCACCCATTGGTTTACAGTCACATTACATTGTGTGGTCAAGTGATAATAAAAAAATCACTCTGGTGGTCAGGACAAGACTACATATCAATAACATCAGAATCTCTGGGTGTGGATTTGAGGCATGAGGACACCATTAACAATTCCCCAGGTAATGCCTGTGTGCAGGTAGGTTTGACAGTCAGGGTTACATTTAAGTGCTTCTTAAAAGTTAATGGATAAAAATACATTGGCAATAGAGTTACAAGGGGATTATGCTTCTATATGTCTGCATGGGGTTGGAGACTGCAAGGTCTAATCCTTTTCCACATGATGTCAAAGCTACTTTGGCTAACAAGGTTATGAACTAGTGCAAGTCAATATAAATATGGTGGAAATCACACATGCAATTATAAAGAAAAGATATACTAGTGATTTTATTAAACTACATGCACTTTAATATCATTATATCATAAATATAAAACTGCTAATAACACACACTCTTTTGGCATAAAACTTCAAATCCAGTATGCCTTTCTCAGTTATTGCATATCTCAAATTGGGACAATTGTATTTCAATTGATAAAATCATCAAGTACCTGCTATATTAGACAATTGAGCTATAAATCACTGGATCCCATCAACCCATCACATACAAATACATACAGTATACCAGGTATTTCCTTAAGAAAAATATAAAGCAATGCAGTACTTACCAATAAATTTCCAATTAAAATGACCATGATGTAAAAAGGAATACACCAAGACTGGCCTGCGACCTTCATACAGTCCCATAATGTCTCTATCCACTCTCCACAGAGAATTCGGAACACGTTCATGTAAGCATGGAAGAAGTCACTCATGTGCCAGCGGGGGAGCTGACAGTCTTCGTCTATGTGGCAGACACAGTCTTTGTAACTTTGACCAAACAGATTCATGCCGAACACAGCAGAGAAGTAAACGAATAAGAAGAGCAACAGGACCAAGTCTTTCAGGGCCATCAAGGTGTTACCAAGGATACGTACCAAATTCTCAAATGGTGGCCCATATTTCCCCAGTTTAATAAATCTCAACTAACAAACAAATGCAAATTAAAAGAAAAGAGAAACAACAACAAAAGGTCAGTGTTGATTATAATGCAAACTTGCATACTCAGTTTCACCAGAATTATGTAGTCATGTATATATAGCCTTTAAATTCATACCACTTTCAACATTATAATGAAAGACAAGTGACTATTTTGCATTCATAATTCATCTTACACATTTTGTAATTTTATGCACTAAATCTATTCATATGTTTTTAACCTACTTGTTAAATCCCACTCAAGATTGCACTTGTTATTGTGATATGTTTGGATTTTAATATGTGGTAGGGTAAATATACACTCTTCATTCTTGTTTTTCTTTATAACACATTGGGTATTCATAATATATTAAATTTCTCCCACATTTATACACACAGAAAATATTAAATACTAATTTCATGATGGAATTAATTTCACAGAGGATCCTAATATTTCCCTTTAGAATGTTTCAATAATGTCATTTCACGTTCAAGAAAGTGAGATATACTGTGATAAAATAAAAACTAGTTCTTAAATTCTACTTACCGGGAACAAAATAAAAACAGTTATCTCTTCAATACCTGCTAGAAAGATTTCTGTTAATCCAAAAAAGACAATTATACTGTCCAAAATATTCCATGTTACTTGGAAATACCCATATGGATGCATAGCGATGATCTTCAAAATCATTTCTATTGTATAGATTCCAATAAAAACCTAAAAGGGAACCAAACATATGTGTAAGAAGTGTTTCCAATGGCTGCACCTGACACTTGCATACAGACCTGTGAAGTGGAGTGAGCTCTATACTCTTGACTGCTGCACAGTTCTTTTCAGACCCTGGTTGGTTTCAGGGTCTGTATTATGATAAAGTTATACATTTTGTTTAATTTTCTATTTCAGGACCTCGTTTATGGAATATTATTATTTAACAAAAGCTATTCTTGAAAAACGGAGTATTTGATTAAAAGTCACTATATTTTAATAGCTCCTTTGGAGATAGAGCATATATTTTAAGACACTTAGCCACTCAACTCATGAAGAAATATAAGAAATATATATATTTATATACAATATATAATTTTATATACAATATAATATATATGTAATACAATATAATATAATGTATACACACACATATATATATATATATATATATATATATATATATATATATATATATATATATATATATATATATATAATAACAATTGCCAGAACAAAAAAAGAGTCTGTGAAATTGATGGAGAGTAGGGAGGGGAGAATTTGAAGGGAGGAAAGGGAAGGGGGGAAATGCTGTAATTATATTATAATCTAAAACCATACATATATGATCTAGAAAAACTCCAGAATAAACTTATAGTAATGATCGTTCAAAAGTTATACTGGCAGGAATTACTGAACTATTATTTTAACACTTTTATTTATTTTTTGACAATTGTGTATGTGTGCCTGTGTGTGTGTGTGTGTGTGTGTGTGCAGATATATGCAGAGGCCAGAAGAATCAGATTCTTGCAGAAGCTGGTGTTACAGGCAGTTTTGAGCTGCCAGATGTAGGTGCTGGAACTCTAGGAACTGAACTCAGGTCCTCTAACAGAATAGTATGCACTCTTAACCACTGAGCCAACTTGCCTGCATCCTGTTATTGTGTTAGTATCAAGGAAATGTATAGTTTGAAATGGGCTGCTGTTTTGTTTTATGTATGGTACTTAGTAACTAAATAACAAAAGGGGTTAAGAAATTTAGGCAACATACATTTGCTTGAGTGTTAACATGTTCATAAATCCATAGAAATCTATTTCATTTTCTTGCATTGTTATATGAAAAGCTATACATGAATCTCAAAGTACATTGTTAAAATGATAAACTCCAATATAAGATAAAGAGAAGCATTGGGACAAACTGGGTTTGGTAGTGCTGTAGTCAGGATTCAGAATTCAGAAGAAGACTGCCAGTGTTATTACCACACCCCTGCTCTATGTTTATTATAGGATAGCCATACCTAGAATGTATGTTTGGGAATGAAAAAACACTAAATCAAATCAATGAAACCCACTTAATTTCATTGCCAGGGGGCAGGCCAGGATTCCAAATTTAAGTGACAGAATTTTGAACTCAAATTGTAAAAATGTTGATTAAAACAGTATTTGCAATGTAGGGACAGGAATGAACATGATAGAAACATAACATCTCATTCAACACCAATACAATCTATACCTACAACATCAGAGGGTTTGTAAGTTAAACAATGAGGTTAGCAATTATTAAAAAAAACTAAAACTATGAATGAAAACAATGTATGATGAGGTCTTACCAAGTTTCCAATTGTGAGGAAATACATGATCTCCTCACTCATTGGAAAATGTTCAAGGGCTAGGAAACATATGTTTAAAATGATGCATATGACAATGAAAAGATCAGCAAATGGTTGTGCTATAATTCCATCAGCCAACTTGCTCAGTTTTATCCAACAGGGGCAGCAGTCCCAGATGCAGCATGTTTTAGTAAACTTTTGCCAACACAGTGGGCATTTCTTCCTGGATATTTCTGGTTCTGAAAAGAAAGATAAGGAAAACCCATTATTGAAAAAATGTTTAAATTTTTGATAGCAGACAAATTAAATGTTTTCATGCAAATGGTGCTACAGATCTTGATTTTCTGTCTGGAATTAGCAATCACAAATAGTCTATACTAATACATAACAAAGTAAAATTCATGTCCTCTATTTTGTTTATGATTACTGAGCTAAAAACTGTAATGTAAATGAAGCAAACAACGTATTAGTAGGAAAACAAAGTTCTCACAAGCCAAGTATGAGTGAGAATAACATGATTTTAAAATTCTAGATTTATATGCTTTACATTATAATAGCTTCTGAAATCATCTGTGATAAAGAACCGTTGGATATATGTAAAAACAAAAACTTATTTGAATCTAAAGAACCCTGAGATATCATAATTATACAAGTGATCTTTGAAGAATATGGGATTAGGGTAAAGACCTCTACAATCAAAGTCCAGATGTAACCTTCCATCCCTACAGAAGTACTATCAGTCTGAAGCTGCCCAGGAGAAATACTAACTTGTTACATTAATTTGTGGTGAAAATCTGAACCATGGAAACTGCAGTGTGCAATTAATTGAAAAGACAAACTGCTCCTGTGGATCTAATTAGCAATGCATAGATTTTCAGATGATACTGAAACTTAGCCCATTACAAGAGCAACACGAGGTGGATACAAAATGATTATGCTAAATACTGAAAATGATACTCTACAGCTGTGATTTAATTCTACCTCCTTACGTATGTGTCTATTTCTCTCAAATTCAACTGGCACCACACGCGGTCTGTGATTATTCATTGGTACATTTTAATGACATTTTCCAATGTTGAAGAAACCTTATTCTGAATGTTTCTATATTGCTCATCCTAATTGCCTCACGCTTTTACTTATATTTTGCTTGCTACCACCTAGATTATAAAGAAACTGCCCAATCTTGTAAGAACAGATTTTGCAATTAGTTCCTCCATTACTGAGTAGAGTTCAAGTTGTTTTTCACTTTACCTCCTTTCTGTCTGAGGGTAGTCTCTTCCAGGATATCCAATGTAGTGTTCATCGAAGTTGGTGATCTTTTCTTCATTTCTATTTCTGTAGTTTTCATCTAAAAGAATTTCAATGGGTTTTGTAGTAGCTAGTTCCTCACCCCCACACCTTTACAATGGACGTTAACAAAACATAGAATTTGGCCTTTCTACAGCCTCTTGCCTCCAGGGTCTTTCTGTGTTCCATCGCTAGTCTTCAAATGGTATTGGCCATAATAGAATTATTTATAATTAGTTGTGCAATAAATGCTAAAATTTGAAGGCAGTCAAATGTTCTACTCTGAGCTGAATAATAAACAGAACAGAGTAGTAAATGTTAGCAGTGCTATCTATAGTTAAAAATAATTTAATAAATTTTACCGGATAATTATGGAATATCCAGTTGCCAAATATTCTACAGAGTAATCAGAATATTTCCCTAAGACTATAATCCTTTTGCTCAGGGACATACTAATATTATAACTTGGCCAATTCTCTCAATACAATTAAAATTATTGGGAAATATGATTAACTCTTAAAGAATCTACAGTAGTGGAATGCATTTAAAGGGTTGTTTGGATGGAATGTGCAGGACAGTAAATGAGTGGAACTTATCTAACTCCATAAAGGTATAATTTATTCCAGAGCCTCATGTCCCTTCAGTAATGCTTCCAACATATTCTGTGCTTTGTTTATCTTCTATGTGTTTGTCATCTATTTATTGTTTGTGTGTATGTGTGTGTGTGGGTTGTGGGTGTGTATAGGTGTGTGTGTAAGTGTGGGTTTGGGGTATATGTAGGTGTGTGTGTGTGAGTGTGAGTTCGTGTGTGTAGGTATGTGTGTGAGTGAGAATTTGTGTGTGTGTAGGTGTATGAGAGTCTGTGTGTGTGTGTGTGTGTGTGTGTGTGTGTGTGTGTGTGTGTGTGTGTGTACATGACACAGCGCACATGTGAAAGTCAGAGGACATAGTTTTTCTGGAGTCAGTTCTCTTTTCTGCCATGTGGGTCCCTGACATGAAACTCAGGCTACCAGTCTTGCTTGGGTTTTGCCAATTTTTGAAACAATCCTAAAAAGTTCTTGCATTAGAAACCTACTTTAAAATCCCAGGCTTTGTTTTACAGATTCTTCAGTTTTACCCAATCAAAACAATTGAAGGGAGAACCAAAGAAATCTTCTGGGATGGTATGTTGAAGTGCATACCCAGTAATGTTAAAACTGTCGCACAAGTCTAGAGATGACCAGCAGTTACAGTCTACCAATATACCAGACTCTGATTGACATAGTCTGCTACTTGTCAAATTCTGATATTGTGCATCTGATGCAACTAAATAGAGATCAAGGATATCACAGCATTCACCTCAGTATCTATTAATAATCTCCAAATTTCATAGCAGGTAGAGGCAGATGATATTAAGGGCAATTATCTCACATACTGAGTTTCATCATGAAAATGAGACCCTCCAGATAGATCTACAGAGCATCATCCTTTACTTTATAATTAGATTAAAATGCATACTAAAATTTAAGCTGTCAGGTTAGTTGTTTACTCAAACTACACATATTTAAGAAAATATTTTAGCTGAATTGCAAGGTTATATAAAACTGATATTCTGACATACAATTTCTAGGAGACAAAATTCAACAGAAGCAAAATTTCTTTTTGTCCTTGAGATAACTCAGGGATTCTGATGATACATAGTTTTTCTCCCTATTAGACCAAGAGTTTTGTGCAAATATTATACTGCACTTACATTTATCAAAGCTTATTCCCAATATTTAGAGAACTGTCAATACTTTGATTAATTAGATAAGTGCCATTAGGATGACAGCTTAGAGGTACCCCACACTTTTTAAATTACTTGCATTACTCTGATTTTTAAATATCCCACTCTTTTCCTAAGGTTTTATCAGCAGCTAATGGTGTATAGGAGAATTGTCCATGTAAACTGTCATTTTAGAATCCTACTGCTTTAGCACTGGGCTATAAGAACTGTTAGGTAGCTAGCAGGGGCCACCAGATTAGAGGTTATTGAAAATGAACTACTCTAACATAGAGGACTTTGGACCACATCCCCAGCTCAGCTGCCCACATCCAACACTAGAAAGGGAAGCTTCACAAATGCCCCTATAAGGATTTAAATACCAG